GAAAAATATATATAATGGTCAGTTATTTACTGAAGTCTGAAAAAGACTATTTATGGTGTGAACAGTTTATTTCCTGGCTGACACTTTATTTTTATTTGTTGTCATTCTTGAGTGACGTTCTTGTCCTGCTGCTGGTTTGTGAGCCGGTACATCGTTGTAGTTTAATGAGCCAACAGCTGACTGTAATCAGGGTTGGTTTGCTTACCAAGCATAGGTAGGTCTGTAAAAAAAGCCATGCTGTTTTTTTTTCTCAGCTCCACCTGAGTAACGGTACATACTGTAATGTGACACTTGTCATTATCACCATTGGGTCTTCATTTAAATGGCTGGCCTTTTGGCCTGATTACCATTAAGCAGCATGAAATGTTTGCTTTGTAGTTCCAAACAAGAACTGCCACTTCTTCTAAATGTTCATATAAAAATGAGGAAAAAAAGATTTCAAGCAAAACTCCTTTGATTTAGTTGCTTAGATGTGAGTTTTAAATGCACCGATCACTGTTTTCTAGGCTGATTCCACCCGATACCAATATCAATACTGGGATACTGGAATTGATGCACTATTGAATGTATTACAGTTTAAATTTCAAGAAAACATTTTGACAGTTCTACAAGTCAACCTTATTTGTTATTTTAAAACATTTTAACAGTATGTATCATGCTGTACATTTGATTTACAGTAATCCATTCAGAGGGGCTGTAGGTCTATAGGAAAGAAGAGTCACCTTGTTCTAAATAAAATACATGAGTTTTTAAAGTCATTGCATAACAGTAAGTGCTCTGTGTTGGTGAGTACTCAAACTGAAGTACTCATACTCTTAACTGGTTTGAGAAAAACTGGCATCAGGACACTCATATTTTTATTACCTACAAATCTGGGGTCATGGAGCTCAGTCTGAATAAAGGTAAACTGCCCTCTTTGGGTCGAAGGAGAGATACTGCTTCAAGTGGAGGAGTTAAGTATCTCTGGGTTTTGGTAATTGACAGATGGATCGATGCAGCTTCCGCAGTAGTTTGGACTCTGTGGGGGTCTCTTGTACTGAGAAAGGAGCTGGGCTGTAAGGTAAAGCTCTCTGGTTATCCGTTGGTCTATGTTCCTACCCTACAGTCATGAACCTCTGGCTAGGGATTGAAAGAACAAGGTTGCAGATACAGGTGGTCAAAATGTTTTGTCACTGCAGGGTAGCTGGACTGTCCCTTAGACAGGATGTGAAGTTCAGTTATCCCGGAGAGAGTCTGAGTAGAGCCGCTGCTTCTCCACATCCAGAGAGACCAGTTGAGGTGGTTCAGGCATCTGGTAAGGATGACCCTGGATGCCTACCTAGGGAGGTTTTCTGGACATGTCTAATTGGGAGGAGAATCTGGACATACTATAGGCTGGTCTGGAAACACATTGGAGTTCTCTCAGAAGAGTTGGTTGTAGGAAAAGATATTTAGGCCTTCCTACTAAAGATGAATGGATTAATAAAAAAAATTACCATTTTCTCTAAAACAGCGAAAGCTACAAATATTATAAATGTTAATTCTCCAAATAACTCCAAAAACAAGTAAAGCAAATTATAAAAGTACCAAAATAAAGATTTGATTTTTATTATGTTTGATCAGCTAATCAACAGTCAAGCTTAAAAGCCTGTAATCA